TCTCGGGAAACTTTAGGTTCTCAAATGATCATTCCTCTCTCTCTCTCTCTCTCTTTATATATATATATATATATATATATATATATATATATATATATATATATATATATATATATATATATATATATATATATATATATATATATATATTTCTTGGGACGGTTTGCCAGTTTTAAGTATGGATCGGTTTTTCGGGTTGGATGGGTCGGTTTCTGGGTAAAAACCGAAACCGAACATGATTTTTCGGTTTTTAAAAAATTTAAACCCTAACCGTCGGTTTTTTTTTTCGGTTTCGGTTTCATCCGTTTCTTGGTTTGGGTTTGCTCTACCCTAGTATTAACAAACCATATAATTTCAATCTATAATTCTTATATAAGTATAAGGCCAGAACCCGTTTATTAAGTTGAGAATGTATTAGGCCCGATTATTAAGTTGAGAATGTAAAGAAACGAAAACATAAAATAATATCCGGGTTGATAACGAACCCGTTTCTACAATACGGTAGTATCCAAGATCCATACGACTGAAAATTTGCAAGTTCCCGGCTTCCCGCTCACACTAAAACTGACAAGCCCTCGGTGCCCCTGCCCCATGGTTGATTCAAAGAGTATACAGACGTTGCCGCCATGGATGACGTTGATCGCCTGTTCGAGTGCTTCAAATGTGGCATCTCTCCGCCTCGTAAGATTCCCTTACCTTTATCTTCACCAAACACACACACAAACTGATACACTTGTCACACATCTTTGTGGATCATTTTTTGACCTAATCTGGACTCAGGATCATGATAATTGAAATGAGATATCTTTAATTGCATATTCGTTATTTCGATTTGATGCTAAACTTGCAACTTCATATTCCAAAACTGATATATTGGGGACAGAAAACGTTTAGAACAATAATCTGTAGTTCTGTACAACAAGTATACAACAGTACATCGAATGTCACGAAGTTTATAGTTTTACTCCTTTTAAATTTCATTGGTAGATTTGTCTTTCTTTTTTCGGGTCCGTTAATTTACTTACGCCTCTTAGTTGCTATGCTACAAGCCGATACTTATTGTTTTCTCATTCAGAATCAGCTACAGGAGGAACGAAAACTAAAAAGAAGAAACTAAAGCAAGAGAAATCAAATGAAGATCCATCAACTTCTACGAATCTCACTCCTGAAGGTTCAAACGGGAAAAAACAGCTATCTGCAACAAATATCCAGAATGTAATTCCTTCCCTTTTCCTATCTTTTGGCACCACCATAATGCTGATTTTTTGTTTACTCCCTCTGCTACATCTCTAGTTTCCACTTCAAATCTTCAAATACTAAATGAGATTGTTATTTGACACTACATGAGATCCTCATCAAATTACATTCTTGCTTTGTTCCAGTTCTATACACCAACTATTGGAAAAAAGATTTTCAATAATGGAAGCCAGTTCTCCCCCATTGTTTTCTATGGTTCTCCACAAGGTGTGCCTCCAAAAAGACCAGCCCGGTTATTGCGATTGTTACATGAAATACGTGTTGAACTTGCTGCACAACATAAATCAAGGTTCTTTATTTTACATGATTTCACTCAAACATTTCTTTGATAATCAAGACAAAAGATGCCCTTCACATATTAGTTATCACTAAACATAACACTTGTGTAGAGATGATGTGTGGGCCACATTTCCAAGGCAAGATGAGGCTATGAAGTATGCAAAAGACTACGAAGGGGTGCATATTTTTAGTTACCAAAATCATACTAGTGGACAAAGAAGGTTCCTTGTTTCAACATACAAAGAATTTTGGCGAAGGTGCATGATTCAACTATCATTATTTCTTCATTATAGACTTATAGCTTATAAGTATATGAATGATATGGTTTTGCTCCATTTGTTACTAGGTACAAAAACATGAACTCTAAATTTCGTCATCATTATGAAGTCATTCAAGAGGTAATCCTTTGTTACATGTGTTATCCTACATGGAATATAACTTATTATATGAGATTGGTGGCACTTATAGGGATTACCATGTCACCTTTACTTTGATTTGGAGTTCAATATAAAAGAAAACACCGAAAAGAATGGGGATGAAATGGTTGATCTCCTCATATTGGTTACTTTTGAAGCCTTGTTTGAGAAGTATTCGATTGAAGGGGACACTAATTGGGTTGTTGAACTTGACTCTTCTACAAAAGGTACATACTTGAGTGTTTGCATGTATCTATAAATCAATTTTCTAACATGATTTTTATCAACAGATAAATTTTCTCGCCATTTGATCATTCGTTTACCAGGGGTTGCTTTCAAGGACAACACACATGTTGGTGCATTTGTTACTGAGGTATCAGTATCAGCATCCCTTTTTAGCTTCATATTCAAATTCTTTAACCAGTTCTTATATCAAATTGCTGAATTTCTTACAGATATGTTCACGGATACATAGTTCAAGAGGAAAGGATAAAAGATTCGAACAGTTATTTATTTCAAAAGATACAAACTTTGCTGATGTCCCTTGTCATCTTTTTGTTGACACTGCTGTGTATTCAAGAAACCGTTGTTTTCGTCTGCATTTATCATCTAAAGCAGGGAAAACTTCAGTTCTTCTTCCCACTGAAAGGTTTAAATGTAAGGAAATGGTAATGCATCGATCCATGGATACTGATAAATGATAATAATATTTTTGATGAATTGAATATTATTAATTTATCATCATAATCTAAGTAAGTTATATAATGATTTTATAGAGTGAGGAAGATGTGTTCATGGTATCCTTGATCTGCAATATAGATGCTGACTGTGAAAAGCTTTTAATCTGCAAAACAGATTTAGATTGTGTCAAGGTTTTGCATTTTGATATTGAGGTAAATCCAAATATCCAATTTAAATGTTTATTCATTAAGGACAAAAATGTCATTCTTGAAAAGAAAAGTGATAGTTTTTATTATCTCATGATTGTTTTATGACAGAAAAACATGGATTTAAATAAACCAATAACAACACGAGAATTTATTCCAACTTCTTGCACAAATGGCTACTTGAGTGGAAAATCACCATTTCCAAGATTAGATGAGTTTGTTGAATTCATTGCTACAATAGGAGATGTACAAGGTTTTCTCTTCTTAATATATATTTAAAAAGTTACATTTAATTTAATTTAATATAAACCTAAATGATTATTTTCATTATTTTTTGCATTGGTAGGAAAAATTCGAAGCTGGTATTGGTTTTCAGAGTATGGTTTGATGGTGTACAGCATGTTAAGAAATAGATTCTGTGAAAGAATTGGCAGACAACACAAAAGCAATCATGGTAAATAATTTTCAACAAGGGTAGTTTCGGTATTCTATAAAAAATGGTTTTGTGATTTTTTGTTTCAGTGATGTATGTGGTGGACCTACAAAAGGGTGGTTATTATCAGAAGTGCTATGATCCTGATTGCAAAGGTGGAGTTTGAAAAAAATCATTTTGGGTTAAAAAAATGCAAGAAATAGCAACTCATTGTAACATTTTGATTTTTGAATTTTGATGGTGTTAGGTTATCGATCTCCTATGCGTCCAGTTCCACCAGAAGTGTTTCCTGATAACAGTTACAATTACATGGAGGGGGAGGGGCAAAATGGGAATAAAAGTCCCTTGGACATGGACAGCTGTCAGAAAGATGAGTGGTGGCGTGAAGCAATGATGGTTGCAGATAAGGTTGAAAATATGCCAAGAGTGCTTCATCTTGCAAAGGAGGTTCGTTCCTGTTTTTTTACTTTACATATAAATTTAAAAAAAATTAAATAATGTAAAAAGCCTACGTGGAATAAATGTCAATGCCATATAGGATGCCATGTCAGCAGCACAGGGTGAGGGTGAAGTGTGGGATGAGGATGATGAATGGTGGATGGCTGTGGAAAGCACTGCATCACAGATTGAGCTCTCATACTGCGGACAGGCTTGATTTTTTTTTTCTTTCTAGAATAAAATATTAATATTATTATTATCCACATAGGATGCCCATGTGTAATATTTTGTTGACACTTGACATGACAAAGTTTTCTGTTTGTATAAAGCAATTTTACAACGCCAAAAGTTTACCCTTTTCTTAAATTATAAACATCAAGCTTTGGTTTCTACTACAAAATTATATTTCTAAACTTTTTAGAGTAAATTACAGAAATAGTCCCTGTGTTTGTATGCTTGTTTCACTACAAGTCCAACTTTTTTTTTTTCTAACCATGTGAGCCATGTGGTTCTATTTTGCTACGGAGATATTAAAAATGACTAAATTACTCTTATTTGATTTCTTTTTACTTTCTTTTTTACTGATTTTGATTAAAAAATTAATAAAATGTGGCCCCCACATTGCTACATTGCCACCTCAAATCCAAATGGACAATTATATGAATCTATGCGATTGGTACAATTATCTTCTCCAAAGCTCTTCATCTTAAACAATACATATTCATGTGCTACCTATCACCATCACTAATTGGAAACACAACCGGGTTTTGTGTGAGTTGAGCCTCATATTTTATGGGTTTCAAATTAATTAAAAAAATATTATATAAAAAAATAGAAAGGATAATTTAAACATTTTACATGGGTAATTTAACCACAAGGACCATCTGTAACAAAACTTAACCATGAGGCTCACATAGTTAGAAAAACAAAATGTTTACAAAGGATCATACAACCTTAGTAGTCTTCTATTATTTACTCATTTTATGAACTAAACATGTTTACAAAGGATCACCATTTCATGTTAACGTAAATTATACTCCATAATCCATATGTTTACAAAAAGATCATACTAACAATATGTTTATGTCATAGTCTGTAATAGCATACACATATAATTTGAACCATAATGCATAGAAAATTTTGGAAAGTATGTTGCTATTTCTTGCATGTAGATCATTAAATAATTCCAAAAAGTTAAAAAACAGATGTCCAAAATTTCATGAAACATCAACCACATAATATGAAGTTTCTTTGAATAATTGCAAATAAAAAAGAGATAACTTTCAAATTCAATCCGCAAGGACCCAAACTGTCATTATGGGTTTCAACTTTCAAACCCTAGTTTACAAGTAACCAACCAAAAATGAAATTATCCAAGATTAGTATATGATGATAAAATCTTTTGTAATTCTAACCTAAAAAACAAACTTTTTTATCATTCATCATCCGAACCCGAACTTGATGCGGGCCCTTTCCCATTTGCCCGGTTTTCCTTTTTCTTATTTTCCTTTTTATTTTTATTTTTATTACTAGTATCTTCTTCTTCTTCATCATCATCACTATACTCACTCTCATAATCCTCATCATACTCCTCTTCCTCAACCTCCTCCTCCTCCTCCCCACCATCCTCCGCCACTTCCTCCACCAGCCCGCCACGTGTCCCCGCCCGTGTCCGCTTCACCACCTTAACTTTCACCCCGGTCTTCTTATCACACCCAATCCACGAATCACACAACAAAAAACAAGTCAAATTATAACTCCCTTCACTTGGGGCTTGAAACTTCCCCATGACCAAGCGGGACCCAGTCTTGACTTTCTCAACCGCCTCCCTAACCGCTTTCCCAATCTCTCCAGGGTTTGCCCCGGAACCTTCCATTGACTCCTCTATTGACTTTGAGGCGGCGGTTATGGCGGCTGATTCGTCCATGAAACTGAGTTTTTGCGAAAACCAAACGTTGTTTGAGGTTTGGTCGGCTAAGAGGAACCAATGGTTTTCCTCTTTGTGGAAAGGGTAAAATGGGGAATGTGGTAAAGCACGGGTCAAGCCGTTGGATCTTTTTAGAGTGACCCATGATTGGACAGTGACTATGTCGCCTTCTTGAATGCCTTCTTCACCTTCGGTCCCGCATTTGACTTCGAGGGTGATTGATGGCATCATGGAAAGTACGGATTCGATGTCTTGGATTTCGGTTGGAGAGAAGTTGGCGGTTTCTGAAAGGAAGTCAACGCGGTCAACGGGTGACATGTCCCGAAGCTCTTGAAGGGTTTTTATTTTCTGTAAAAAAAAAAGAATTTGTAAGAATTTAATCGGGAAAAGTTTATGTGATGTGGTAAATAATTAATTTTTTTACCTTTCGGGTGATCTTTTTTATGACGGCCTCGTTGAAATGAGGAAGCTGAAGAAAGGGTGCAATGCCTTCTGAAGAGCCTCCGGATGGTTTTCTTGCACTAAGAGGAACAGCCTGCATTGAATAAGTTTTTATATATTATGTAAATGTATTATAGAATCTATTATTTGCTAAATTGAAAAAATTTAACATAATATAAGCTCCTTAGAACCCAAATAACATTATAATAAAAATGATATTTTCTACTTATTTTTAGAAAATAAAAATGAATTAAATTAGAATCATGAAATTTTAAGAAAGATCTGTGCCATTAATAATTTTATAGTTTTCACGGAATGGAATGAACAAAAAAAAAAAAAACCCCTCTCGACTATGGGATGAAATTATTAACAAAATGAAAGGAATCAGATTACTTCCAGAAAGTATCAAATTTAATATTTGCAAAACTAAAAAAATCAAACATGATAAAAGCTGATTAAAATTACAACTTAATTAAATCATGAAACTCTTTAAACATGTGCATTTCAAATTTTATAAATAAAAATTGATTATGTTACATGTTTTTCATGAAAAAAAAACACACCTTCTCCACCTATGGATGAAGATTAACAAAATGAAAGAAACTATAGAAATTTAATATCTACAAAGCTTAAGAATTAAACATAACAAATCATGAACCTTTATATTAAAAACAAAACAAGTGCATTGAAACTTTTATAAATAACAATGGATTATACTACAAACTTGAATGAATGGAATGAAAAATAAAATCCCCAGCCTGAGGAATGAAATTAACAAAACGGAAGGAATCATATTCCTTCCGGAATAGCCGATTCCATTCCATTAGGCTAAATAAATTACCTGGATGATACATTGAGAAAGCTCAACAACACCAACTGCAGGTCTTAGCCACCCATGCCCTTGAGCTGTGCGTGGTATCACTGCCATCTGTATTGTAAACAATAACATTTAGAATATATAATCTAAACAGAAACAATTAAATATTAGAATTTATAAATATGCTTCTATTTTATATTAAAAAAAAGATCAAGAAGTACCTTCATTAGCTCTTCAAGAAGTCGGGGTGCAATCTCCACTACACGTTTGAAGTCATTCTGTAATTCCGGGGTTAATGTTGCTGTTTGACGAGTCAAATGAGCTTGAATCAACAACTCTGTCTGAAAAAAAAAATAGGATTAAAGAATTCATTTTTTGTTTATTCACAAGATATCTAACAAGGGTATGTTGGTCTTTTAATAAAGTTCAAGACTTTACCTTTACTAATGCTGGATGCTGCTTCCAAAACTTTGCCTGTTCTTGTTTGATATTCTTGAGATCCAAATTCAACTCACTTCTCACTAACATAAAAAGTTTCTGAAGGGGTTCAGCATCAGGCCTACGAACTGGAATCTCCATGTATTCAGCAGCCTTGATAAGAACATCCATAACTTTGCTGCAATATCACAAATCACACCTTAAAACAGCAACATACTTTCCCAAAATAGAAAGAAAAAAGAAGAAGAATATTTCATACCTAGGGGCCAATGAAGGTTTCATGAAGTAATAGTAAGCAGATAGTGTTTGATGCATCACATAATTTCCCGTATACTTTGAAGATCTTGATAAATATGCAACAGCCACCACTAATGGAAGTAGGATACAAACACCAACAATCCATAGTAATAGAATCCCACCAGATGCACCTTCTATGTTTAGCAGAAATTGAGGAAGAGCTATTCCCATTTGAAACCCCTAAACCACAAATGTTGAAATCTTTCAAAAAATGTAAAGTGATAAACTTTATTCAAGATAATGTGTAAGATGTGACACCTGTCGACCATCTGGATGACCATATTTTTCAAAGTTTTCACGGGAGATTGGATCTGTAAGTGCTTGATATGCCTTGGCAATGGATTCCACAAAATATTTGTGGGCATCTGGATAAAAAAATGTATAGTAATCATCAGTAAAAAGTTAAAACAATTGGAGGTTTCAATTCAGGGATGAAAGTTATGAACAAGATCAACCTGGATCTGGATTTTTGTCAGGATGGTATTGAACAGAGAGTCTTCTATATGCCTTCTTTATTTCAGAATCAGAAGCTCCAGGTTGTAATCCAAGAATGTTAAATGGTTCAAATACTTGAACCTGATTGAAGAAAAACCGGTTACTTCACATTTTGCATGATTCTTGAATCAAAGATAAGAAATGATAACTTACCTCACGATTTATGGTCTTGATATAGTACACAAGGACACCCATGATGATCCAAAACAATACCAATGTCAAGTTACTCCATGTTGAGAAGTTTGAGATCTGTTAATATAATTAAGATCAGGAATATCTGAGAATTGTATATTCATTTTTGTGTATTACATGAAAAAAGTCAAAAACTATAAAAAAAAAAAATCTTAAAAGAAGATGATTACCTTTTTGAATATTGATTTGCGGTATTTTCCTGATCTAGAGCAAACAGAGCACTGGCAGTTGATGCTCTTTTCTTTCTTTGAGGCAGCACGACAAAGCTGCATGATTGTATAAGGTACAAGCGGCAGTGCAATCATCGTTAAAATGAAGATCGGGAAGAGTCCACTGTTCTCCTCCGAAGCAGCCATTGGAATCTTTTGTCACTACAAGTTTAATGATATGAAGATTAAACAGTGAGTAAAAGTTCGGGTTCTGAAGTTTCCTTGATTCGATATCACATTTTGTTCTGATTGTTGAAGATAATGAATGTCATCAGAAGATCATGCACAGTTTTGTTTTTCAGAATTTTATCGAACTTAAAAGGACGTGAAATACCCAATCGAGTAGAGCAGAACCGGGATTACTCGTTAGAAAGTTCGAATCAAAAAATTACGATCATGCAACTAATTTAGTCGAAGAATGCTAAATCATATCGAAACAATCATACATCAACAACAATCGAATCGGGAAATTCGTAACATAAAACTAGATGTTCATCAACGATCAAGCACATATCAATCAAATTGGTTTATATTTGACGGAAGTTCAATTCAATAAGAAAAACCCGCCGAAAACCAAATCAACATAGAGATCCCCAACTTGAAGAGACTGTACAAGGTAGAATTTGTACGAAATATCAAAACCCATAAAACCCTCTAATGAACAGCTGATACACTACCTAAACGAGCAATTTGCTTCGATAATTGATGGCGATTAACAAGTAGGTGAAATGAATTGGGTGTAGATGTTGATTTACCTATAATTGAAATGGAATTGAGAGAGATCTGCCGATTATACTCTAGGGCAGGAGCATGAAAATGGTGGACGAAGGTTTTTGTGCAGTGAGCGTCTCTTCTTGCTGTTTCTATATTAGTGTGGCGAATAATATCCAGATCCAGGATTAAACGGATGCGTTCTTAAATTATCAGATACTATAAACACTGGCATACCCAAGGGAAATTTTATAATTTTGGCCTCTCAAAAATAAATATCATATTTTTTTTGTTTTTTTTAAGGTTATTTTAGATGAAATGTGTGAGATTTTTATCCAAATCAATTATATATTATAGTATTACATACCAAATAAATTATCGTTGAAAATTTTTTATTGATGATTTTAGTGTTATCAATATATTTAGTGTAGTCGAAATTCTATTTCAAACAAACTCAGCTTCATTTGGTTATATTAAGTGTGAATTTAGTGTCACCAATACATTAAATATGCAAGTTGATTAAGTTATTGTATGGGCCCAAACAAATACCTAAACGGTGGCATAAAAGTTTGATGATGTTTTCTTAACTAATGATTTTAAATTAAATCAACCGGAGAAGTATGTATATAGTAAGTTTGATGAGTTTGGTAAATAAATAATAATATGCATGTATGTGAATGATATATCAATCTTTGGAACTGATCAAAAGCAAATTGGCAAGACTTATATTTTTTTTATCATCTCAATTGTAAGGTCACAAGTTGCTTGATGTATGTTATGACCAACAAAAGCAGACCCATTCCAGATGGTGGACGATAGGAGCGACCGTCTAGAACCTATCTTTTAAAGAGGCCTAAATTTTTTATGGAAATTGTTATATTTAGAAGATAATATATGTACTTTTCTTTCAATTATTGAGTTATTAAAAGAAAATTTGATGACATTCGTGTATTTTAAGGGCCCATCTTTTTCTCTCGTCATAGGCCCAAAATATGTTTTGAACGATCCTGAACACAAGGCCTGATATTGCCTTTTCTATAGGAAAACTAAGTAGGTTTACTAGCAATCATATTATTGATCGCTGACAAGGAATAAGGTGGGGTGTTAAAGAATCTTAAGAAAACCACAGACTATGATTTAGCTTATGCATGGTCTCCTTCAATCATAAAATAGTATAATTAAGCTAGTTATATTACAAGCATCGTGCTTGCTTATCGACAAGTGGTTTGATTTTTCTTCTTGAGGGAGGTATAATTTTTTGAGCCTCTAAGAAGCATAATGGTTAAGAAATCCGATCTTATAGCCCTTGCAACTGCCGGTAAGGAAGCATGATGGCTAAGGAATATGATCTATGAGATTTCATTATAGCTAAAATCAATTTCACTAAGTTCCATACATTGTGATACTGTTGCCACCAGGTAAAGACTTATAATCAAGTGTACAATGGAAAATCATGATATTTGGGTGTTAGACATAGTGTGGTATGTGAGCTTATAGCTCATGGAATCATTTATATCGAATTTGTTCGATCTCAACAGAATCTAGCATATCATTTGACGAAGGGGTTAATGTAACGTCCCAAATTTCAAACAAAAATTTCCATTGAATAATAAAAGCATTTTTCCAATTACAACTTCAAAGATCTAAATAAAACCATCTAATTCAAATATATTTATCAGAGTATAAACATAAGAGTTATTAAGTGTGGAAATCTCCATTGGATGCGATGCAATCAACCCACACCCTTCCTTCGTTACTAGAAAACCTGAAACAATTTAAACTTAAAACCGTAAACATAAAGTTTAGTGAGTTCTCTAATATACCACACACAAACATACATAACGTAATGGGTATGTTTCAACCCAAGTGGAAGTTCTAGGCCAAATCATAGCCTTACAATCACTTATTGTTATAGTCCAAAACATGGTCTTTCATACAAATGCTACGGGCCAAATCGTGGTCTCTCATACATTTTCCATGGGCCAAATTATGGTCTTTCATTCAATTTCCATAGACCAAATTGTGGTCTTTCATACAATTGTCATAGGCCAAATCATGGTCTTTCATATAATTGTCACGGGCCAAAATCGTGGTCTTTCATACAATCCATGCAAGAGTCACAAAGACAACAAACATCAAACATCTTACATAGTATAATGAGGAGAATCACCTGAACTACTCAACCGAAGCTCGACAGACACCTCAACAACAAAACAGCTAACCCAAGCTACCTAATGTCAAACTGAGACCATTCCTTAGTTACATACTCAATTCTATATAAGTTTAACCAAAAATCAAACTTGCCAAAAAGTTAATGGTCAATGATCAAATTCAACCATGTACACCACCCCAACATGGCAAGAGCCTGACCACGATGTGGTTTGGCTCGAGACAAAAAACACGATGGATCTACCACCACGTCGTGGTCAACACTTGACCACGTCGTGGTGACGCTGACAGATCTAATTCCTTATTAAGTTCTTAATATGTTAAGTCCACTACTCCAACTTTCTAAAAAAGCTTTATAGCACCATAATGGTCCATAAAAATCCCAACTTTATAGACATGCATTTCCAATATATGTTATACTCCAAATTAGGTTAAAATTTAAGAAATGGGCCAAAACCTCATACATGACACCAAAACAATCATGAGAGTCCAGATCTGAAACATATAATACCCTTGAGACTTCAATGATAAATAAAGTTGCAAACTTTATTGAAACCTTTCACTCAAATTCCATCAAGTGAACCAAACAAGATAAAATCCGAGATCTACAAGACTTAAACCACAAAGATGGAGCCTTAGAGGACTTACAATGGTCCAGGAGATGCTCAAGAGAAGATGCTTGTGCTTGCTAGATGATTCCTTTCACCATGACTTCCTTCTTTCCTTCCATGGTCACATAATAAGAAAAATGAACTCAAAGACAACAAAGTGAGGTTAGGGTTTGGTTCTCTGATCTTGGAGGTGATGGAGGCTGAGGGTGGGAGGAAATCCTATCCATCACTTCCTTTAAATAGGGCCCAAGGTCCGAGATCTTGGGTTTTGAGCCCGAGCCGCCATCGTATCGTGGCAAGAAGTTGACCATGATGTGGTCATTAATAACGTGTCCGCATCGTTGTCCGTACCCTACCGTGCCGTGGTGACATGAAAATCCCAAAATCACAACATTGCAAAACACAAGACTTAAACCTGTAAACCGAGTGTTACAGTTAGCTAGGGACTTGGTAAATAAGTTAGTGGTTAGGACGGGTTTAAATCCAATTTGAAATCTCTATGGGTGAGATGCTCAATTCCCTTCTAATACATGGTAAAAGTCGAATTCAATGTAGAAAGCTTACTTATGGAGATTAAATCACATTCATTTATATCATCCCAACATATGTGCTTAGAACTGTAGACTTAAAGTAGGTTGAAGTAATTTTTTAACAGTTCTTTTAAAAAAGTGCATGTACAAGTACATAATTTAGAAGAGTTACCTATGTGAGTGTGAAGTTTTGCTGCTTCAAAAATATTGGGCTAGAACACATGAATTGTAATAGTGTTAATTATAAGCATTAGAATTTATGTATAACTTATGTGTAGAATATCTTAAGTTACTCAAGTGAGTTGGTGAATTCAATCCTTAAGACACTATATTTTTAAGTATTTGAAATGTGTATCATACTAATATGCAAAATTCAATCTTCAAGACATTTTCATTTATGCATAGGTTTGGTTTGTGTTTAATATTTACTTAATCAATGATTACAATAAAATAGGGGAGGAATGTTAATGATTTTAGTGTTAACAATACATTCAATGTAGTCGATATTCTATTCGTGATAAGTTGAGTTCAATTTGGTTATATTTTAAAATAGGAGGTGTGAAGTGCACGCTCGGATAACTAAAAGATAACTAAAGAGGACCTGAAAACACAATTGCCCATACCCCCGGTGGGGTTCTAAGGCACACATCACACAAATGCCTTACGTGATGTGCTAAGAGGCCATGTGCCGCATTTATGAATCTTTGACTTTCATTGACTTTTTCTAAATAGCATTATACTTTCCAATCTATTATTCATGCACTCAAATACATACCATTTACTTCTTAATTCTTTAAGCAATGACAAAAATTTGAGTCGTTAACCATGTAATCCGTTCAAAGTTTAAACTCGGTTGCAACATATATATTGGTTCTCTTAAAACCCATTTTGGTGTTCGTAGTATTTTTACTCGATGGTTGAATATAATCTCTAATAGTGGGCTTCAAAAAAGCCCATATTCGTCATAGGCCCAATCTGATTTTTTTTTTTTTCTTTTGTCGGAAATCGGAAATGAAGATAAATGTTCAACGTAATCTCAATTCACATCGCTCGCACGCCGGCGATAACGAAGAAAACCAATGGGCTCTGCAACCGAACACCGTCGTCTTCCCCGCCACCACCACTGCGTAAACAACATCTCCCGTTTTATCAAGTCCACTGCCACAAATATCTCATCTATCTTCATCCATAAAACTCCGAATTCAATAAACTCCGTTTCTTCCCCACCCAACATATTGCTCCCCTTTCCGCTCTCCCTACCATCTATATCGTTATCTGATTCTTCTCCGGCTGATCTGGATTCATTTTCTTCTTCTACGAGTCCCTCCGCCTCATCTTCATCAGCCAGGAGTATGTCGTCGGAGTCGACCAGCTCAGGGTTTCCATCGACTGTGAGGATTTCTAATTTGAATTCGACAGGAAATGGCGGTGGACCGGCGTTTGTAGGTCAGGTTTTTAGTATGTGTGACCTTTCGGGAACTGGTCTCATGGCTGTTTCTACTCAGTTTGATATCCCCTTTATCTCCAAAAGGTATTAACGTCCCCCCTCCGTATACTCCAAAAGTTAATCTGAGCTGGTCTATCCTAATTTTTATGCATAATCTGAAACTCAAACAATTGCGCAATGTTAAATTTTAGCTTCTGTTGTACTGAGTAGAGAATTAGAATTTGATCAGCAATAGAACATTGTTTACCTATCCTTTTTAGGCGATGCATCTAGCTAATGTTGTTCTGTTGGAGTTATTACCAAAAGTGCTGATAGAAACAGTGTATTTTGCATAATCATATACATTGATTCTACAATAGGAAAATTCTTGTTACCACATAACATTTAGGGTTCTGTGAGAATAAACTATGCTTTGAAAATCATTAGAACTTTGGATGATAGTTATTTGCTAGTCCTTTCTAAATAACAAGATATGTATATTGAATGATTTCATGATACTATACCACAAACAATTAAAATATTAAGATTAGCATATGCATGATACAAGAATGTTGGATCTATTCTCTTAAAATTTTGTTGTCTGGTTTCTTCTCTCCCCATTATATATCACATATTTCTAGGTGTTTCTTTCCACTCACAGAACACCACAATGGCTTAAAAAGATGTTTCAAGCAGTTATAAAGAGTGAAAGAAATGGCCCTGTTTTCCAATTCTTTATTGATCTAGGAGATGCAGGTACTACTCTACAACTTCTTTTCAAGATTTTGCTTAAAGATAGTATATTTTTATCTATTCAGCTCTCTTAACTTCATATTTATATTCATTAAACACCCCCAAAATACTTCTTACACAATGGATAATAATTGCATTTTTATTACCTTTTCTTTCAGTTTCATATGTCAAACGACTAAGTATTCCCAGTGGGGTTGTTGGTGCCTGTCGCCTTGATCTAGCATATGAACATTTTAAGGTATAATTCAATCGATTATCAATCTTTATAATTAATTTTCTTTACAACATTATTATTCATCGCTTTTATCTAAATCCTTTTAATTATTTACAGGAAAAACCTCACTTGTTCCAGTTCATTCCAAATGAGAGACAGGTTAGACAACTCAGATTTTATTTTTGAAGTCATGATGTCATAAGATAATCTAGTAAATTACAATAAATGGTCCCTAAGTTTCACTGTTTTTTGCAATATTGGTCTCCAAATGTTTCCTCTTGCATTTTTGGTCATTGTTTGGGGTTTTTGTAATGTTTTTGGTCCTTATTTTGAACGACCCTTATGGTTGGTCTCTGTTTTAAATTGTTATTATAATATTCTAAAACTAAAATATAAAAAATATCTATTAAAAAAAATCAGATAAAGGGTAATATAGCTGTTCTACTTGGAACAAACACCAACATTATTAAAAAACATTAAAATAAGAAGAGTAAGTTACGTTTTTGGTCCCTGAGTATAGTTGATTTTTTACAATTTTGGTCCAAAAAGTTTTCTCTTGCTATTTTGGTCTTTATTTGAGATCCGTATAATGTTTTTGGTCTTGTTCCATGTAAAATGGTCATTTTGGTCCCTCAAGTGTAGCTGATTTTTTCAATTTTGGTCCCAAATATATAGTTATTATACTCAGAATAGGGAACAAAAACATTACGGAAACGTCAAATAAGGATCAAAATTGAAAAAATCAGCTATACCCAGGGACCAAAAATGTAATTTACTCGAATAAGAACCATGATAGATAAGAAATATCAAAATAAGGAACAACATCATAAGAAAAAACTCTTTAGGACCAAAAATGCAAAAAACAATGATACCCAGGGACCATTTATGTAATTTTCTCAAAGTAGTATGATCTTTATGCAGGTCAAGGAAGCAAACAAACTTGTTAAGAACACACGAAAGAAAAAGAAATTTGAAGGAGTTCCAGTTTTCACTGCACAAAACTTAGACATTGCAATAGCCACATCTGATGGAATTAAGTGGTATTTACTAATTAGTAATTATTTATGTTCTTTATTAAAAACAAATGATTCATGACATAGTTTCTTATTCATCTCAAAATATCGTCTTCCTTCCATCGTATTAGGTATACTCCATATTTCTTCAATAAAAGCATGCTAGATGACATTCTAGAAGATTCCGTTGACCAACATTTCCATTCCTTAATTCAGACACGACATTTACAAAGGCGTCGTGATATTATTGATGACAGTATGGGGTCAGATTTGCTTGAAGACAATACAGACAACGTGTGGGAACCCCCCTGAGGTATAAATTTTAATTTGTTTTAATGAAAAAATTTTTAAATGGTTTACGGGTAATTTGGTAATTTGATGATGATATAGGTTCAGGAAGTTTTGGATGAAATTGGTGCTCCTTCTATACCATTAAGTGTTATTACAAAAGCTGCAGAGATACAGCTTTTGTATACAGTGGATAAAGTGATTCTTGGAAATAGGTGGTTGAGAAAAGCCACTGGAATTCAACCCAAATTCCCGTATGTGGTTGACTCATTTGAGAAAAGGTAACGAGGGTATTTAGGTCTTTTGCTTCTTATTGACATAATACAAATACAATATGTTTATGTTGTTGCAGGAGTGCAGCTTCTTTTCAAAGGGCATCCATGTTATCTCATGGTGGGGTTCCTGATTCCGACAACAAACAACTCCAGCTTAAAACAGGATTCCATTCCCCCTTTGGAGATTGGTTCACTAATCATGATCATAACCTTTCAGACAAAAGGTGACACCCAAAATACTTGAATGTTCCTAGTAAATTACAATTTTAGTCCCTGTTGTATGCTCAAAACGACAAGTTCAGTCCAAATTCCAATTTTGTTGCAAATTTATCCTTTCGTGGTTTCGTTTTGTTGTGTATATGGTTCCGCCAGTGATACGTTTACAAAATTACAAATTTTCCCTCATTTTGTCCTTTTGTTACCTACCAGTGTGAAAGAAGAAGCGCACCTGAACCTGAACCCGAACCCGTTTCTTCCAAAAATCACGATGGTTGGTGTTGCAACGGGTGAGGCGGGGCCCATGAGCAAGGCGACTTTGAAAAAAACAATGGATGATTTAACAAAAGAATTGGAAAACACGGATGATGGGAACAATGGTAATAATGGTTTTAGTGAAAGTAAATATGATAATGAAAGGGACCCGCTTTTTGTGGCGAATGTGGGTGATTATTATTCGGGGCTGTCGAAAGCCAGTTCGGCTAGATGGGTCCGCCCTCGATCCACTAGAAGCTAAAGCTGATAGCTGGAAGCTGTAACTTTTGGTTCTGCAAAAGCAGCTTTGAGATTTTAGGTGTAACATTACATAAAACATAAAAGTTTAAAAGTTACTAAAAGCTCGTTTGCCAAACATGTCATTAGAGTAGGAATTGGATAATTTGGTAATTAGTTGATTTGTAAATGTATATTATGATAATGATTGTCGTGTTGTAAGATGGGATTTTTTATATTATTGGTTAGATTAATAATAGTCGAGCATGATGTGTTTTGATGTGGTTGGTTCACTATTGAGAGCCAAAATCAAGATCTTTAAGCCATCAAAAAGAAATAATATTACTAGGTAATGTAATGGGAGTAGTAATGTGGTAGTTTGGAAAGTTTATTACAAGTTGTAGAAAAGAATAACATATAATGTTTTTAATCGTAATGGTAATAAATGTGCGTTTCATTATTGATAATAGGAATATATAACATTGGACCTGTAAAATGCTTACCGGTTTCATCTTACATTTTGCTATTGTTGGCAAATATATAAGTATGTTGTTACTTGTAGAGAAATATACGTTTTTGAATTATACTTGACTAATCAAATACATTTTACAAATTTTACTTGGGGCGATTCTACCTTTTGCTAAATTAAACAAGGGCTTAGGGCCCTCATTTTTAAAACTTATTCACTAATTGTAGTCCAGAAAACTGAGAATTGACCATTCGATTGTTACGCACGTCGCACGCAATGCCACAATCAACAATCAAAGTGACAATTCGATTTCTACAAAAACACATCTCTACTAGTGTTCTTCTTCCTTCTCGTCGGCTTCTTCTCATGTCCTCCAATCTCTAATCTAGTCTGAAACATAGAAACACAACCAACGACGATTTGATTCAGTGATTCTCGTTCAGTCGATTTCAAATCAGGGGCGGCATTACAAGACCTCAACCAAAACGGTATGAGTTTCCAATTTCCATTATTTGATATTCTGATTATCTTTTAGTTTTAGTTTTGAGTTTTCTTGTTTTCCATTATCTATTTATCTCTTCATCTGTGATTGGGGATTTGTGGTAGATTAAGAACCTAATAAGTGTTATTGGCTGATTTCTTGATTCCAGTATCGACTGATCTTATTATCTATTTATTTCAGAGACTCAGGGTAGAGTAAGAATCTGATAAGTTTTCTTGATTTCCATTATCTTCTTTTCTCAAGCAACAAATATTTCTAATCCATAATCCATTAATTTACTTTCAGTTTATTATTTGTTCATTAGTTGTCTTGATGATTGTTATTATTAATCAAATAATCAAATAATCATGTCCAAGGAAAGGCTAAAGGGCCTTAAATTTTTGGTTGGTTATCTTCCATGATTTCACTTTACTTATCATAATAATTGTGAAAAAAATATATGTTGGTATGGATAAATAAATATAAATATGTACTTTTTATGGATATATAAAAAAGTATTTTACATGTATTGTTAAAACTTAAAAACCAAATAATATAATTGGCGTTAGACATTCTCAAGGGTTTGAGATGGCTTATTTAAAGTGCTTACGAACCATATTATGGTTTGATATTAATAATAAACTTGGAGTGTTTTGATTAAATTAAATAAAAGCTTATTACTAAAACAAATAAACGATTTTTTATAAGTTTTTCTTCCAACTTATTCGACAATACTCGGAATTTATTTGAAAGTGCTTATCATTTATTGAAATCAATTTACCATCTTAGTAGTGTTTAACCCTAAAAACCTAAAAACCTAAAAACTATGTGGATTGTAACCTCTTTTTTTTTTTTTCACGACCAACAATGCATATATCAATTTACCCATTTTACTTTTGTCTCTTTTGGTCCTTTTACATATATAAATATAACTAGATTATGACCCGCGTTAAACGTGAGGGAACGCATAAAAAAAACATAGAAACATCTACAGATATTCCATAAGGGAACGATTAAGAACGATTAAATATAGGTGAATGATTAAGAACGTTAATGTTGTTAAGCGAACCAAGAGAACCAAAAAAAATTGTCAAATACATAGTTCCTATGATGTCACTGCTTCAAGTATGATCGTTGGATGACCATTATCACCTCGGGAAAATTGCATTGACCATGGTGTGAGGTAAGACAGTTTTCTCGTGTCCAATGTAGACAATCTAAACTTCCTAACATTTTAGGAAATTCATGTACGCTAGCATGATGAGAATGCAATTTGATGATGCCATTACGTATAGGCTTGCGTAAATATTTTGGCCCATAAAGCTGAATAATAGTTTTGCAAAAATAATGGAGACTATCTCGTGCAATCCTATAGGACATCCTAAAACTCTCGTCCAACGCATCAAGCATGATGCTATATTCTAATTGACGAAGTGCAACTGTGCATTTTTGTAAATGAGTGAAACCGAGTGTACCTCTAGCATCAGGATGTTGTTGGAAAAAATCACACCCTCATTAGATCTTTGACTATATGTTCGCACAAAGGTTTGAACATTCTGAAACGCCTTCGGAAGTAGTACCCTTGAAAAGTAGCATTCTTTTGAAAGTAGTCTTGTATCCAGCGTTGGTTTGTTTCTTCACGATTTCTATAAATATATCTTCGGGTTCTTCGTTCAGCACTTCCGACTGTGCTACTCCATGCAAATTCATACGTTTACTCCGCCAATTTAGCAGTTGCGACAACAACATCAAACATAACAGCAAAGTCTTCAGAAGAATCGAACGATGACATTTTTTAATTTTTTTGATAGGAAATGTAGTAGAAAGATAAAAAAATTGTAAAGGTTTGAGGTTTAAATAGGAATGTTAAAAGGTTAAAAGGGAAAGAAAAAGAAACATTTTTTTTTTAAATCTGACCGTTCAACGGTCAATTGGAATGAAAATTGAAAGAAGTTGGGGAGCACAGTGCGGCCTCCACCGCACCCCCACCGCGGTGGAGGGTGGTGTTTGTGATGATGTGGCAGGGGTGGTGCGGCCTCTGTCGTAGCCACAGCCCTTGGCCTTATCGTTAGGTAGTCAAAATCGGTTGATGGTTTAATACATAACACAAATTCTCGAGTGTTTGAATGTGTAATACTGTAAAAGGAAAATTCAATTTTCAAAACATTTTCATTTATACTTGAGTTTATATCATTTAAGTTAGTCAATGATCAGACTAAATAATACATGAATGCTGATGATTTTAGTATCATATTATCTAATGTGATCGACATTGCTCCCCATGATGGGAGCGTAATAATTGGGATACAAAATTCCATAGAGGAAGTTCAATGTTCAAACCTTACGCTAAGAACAGTTGGATTGTTTCTAATATAGCATGAGAAACAATATCATCACACTTCTTGAGCTTGATAATCCTTCTAAATTGTCTTAAATCTAGTTTAATATGTTTTTGTATTGATAAACCGGTTAAAAAAAAAACTGGTTATATCTTGGTTAAAACTGATTTTGAGAAAACATGAAATTGTTATAAGTTTGTTTTTAACACATCGTATAAAACATAAATCAAAATGTCAAATAATCTTAAAAAATGTTCCAAAACTAATTTTAAAAACTAAAACATATCAAAATAAGTAGCTTATGTTTATTAGCAATTACAATTGCCTCAAATTTACCCGTCATATAATCGGCAGCATGGCATATTTAGACTTTAGCGTGAGTTGAACTAAAAAACATGTGTGGGATAGTTGTTTCTTAATTTATGTCAAGTGAAAGAACCTGAATTGCAAGCACACGTCTACTAACTTCAATTATACGGTATAAAGAGTAAAATAAAAGAACGAAAATGTACAAATTTAGATCTTACGTCTCATCATCATTCTTCACAATTAAAAATGAAATCAATTCCTGATGATTTGTGATGTTAAGGTTGCTTTCTCTTGGAAATTGAAACAATTAGAAAAGTAGAAAAATGTCATGAATTCAAAAAAGACTGAAATTGTTTACAAACATTGGTAGTAGACTTGCCTTCTCCAAGAGGTGTTGAAGTAATTCCTCCAACAACATCATATCCTAAAAAAGAACCAAAAAAGTAAAAATGTTTTGAGATGATTTACCATTTGTTGCAAGCCACGACCAGAAGAAACAATATCTACAGAACCTTCCATGCTAGGTATAGTCTATGGAAAAACAATGCATAATCAAAATATTAGAACCGACCATCGAGATAAATTAAAACTAAAAGTAATAAAAATCTTATTCTTTATTGGTGGAAGGATCCCATTCGTGTTCAACAACTGCGTTTGGTTCTCAAATTCCGACGGAATTGGAATCTGAGATTCCATTCCATGGTTGAATTGTTTGAAAAAAGTCAAAAATTTTACTTAAAAAGAAATAATCTTTTTTCTTAAAAAAATAGAAAAAAAATTAGATAAATTGGAGGGGATAATGATTTAACTAAAATATATAAATTAATTAATTTACTAAATTAAAATAGATTCTAATTCATAACTAACTATTAAACAACAAAAATAACAATAAAACAAAAAATGTAGTTATTGTGGGATTGGTTCCACTTCCATTTGTCCTTACTCTCATTATAAGGAATTGCTTAGCAGCTAAACTCCTTGCTCCACTTCTATTAAAGCCAACTTAAAATGTTTTCTGTTTTTCATATTTGTTCGCTTTTCCAAAAAACTAATTGATTAACTTCAACTTGTATTCTTTATAAAAAAACAAAAACAACCATAAAGTATTATATTTATTATAACTTAAATAGGAACAGAGGTTTAACAATTATAAATAACCTACAAATACAAGACATCTTCAACCTCTGTTCAATTCATCTATCTTGATGGCTGCTATGTACTCACTTTGCTTCAAGGAAGTAGAACAGGTATGCTCCCATGGTGAATCAAAATTGAAACTAAATAAAAAAAGAAATTGTAATGGCAGTGATAGCAGATGTTGACAATAAACCCATCAAAAAATTCGCTAAAATACGATTAGAAAAAAAGGTCAAAAAAATAATTCTTAAAGTATGTTTCATTTTTGTTAGGGTGAATATCAAGGATCAAAAGAATATATTAATGCTAATTTTTCAAAATCCATAGAAACTACCAAAAAATATTTTGGATTTTCAAAAAAGGCCATAAAAATACTCAAAGAACAACAAACCAAAAAAATATCAAATTGAAATGTACTGATGATACCTTTTATAGATGCTTTGAACGAAAATCCAAAGAAATTGTGATTCCAATGTCCATCCCCATCATCTAGTAGGTCAAATCCCAAATCAAAATAAAATAAATACGCATTCTTTCAATAAGAACCCAAACCTGTAAATTTTATAATCATTGCTAGCCTAATATTACAACCTACCATATCAAATGTTGAACAAGGCATATTTCAGGAAGGCATCATCTTCTTTACATCAATAACAGAAATCCATGCTCTTTGGTGAATGTTTTGTTATCTGTATAAGATTGTGTGTAATTGAGTGAATTGTTAAAACAATAACATTCAATGGAACTCTAAAATTGAAGAGCTACAATAGAGACAATCATGCATGACCTGTTTCAAATAAATTACAAAAGCTAAAGCATTCATTACTATACTTTTGAAAATCTTTATCTAAAAAATTCATTTGAAAATTATTTCTCTGTTGGACTGCTAACTTTTCCAACCTTCACTTGAACTGGATTTATCAAATATTATTCAACTTTATGTATAACTTAGGATATTGTGGCAATACCAAATAAATCAGATTGCAAATCCAAATGCAAATGAAAAAAAAATTTATCCATGAAAAAACATGCCATAAGGTTATATTTGTTTATGTATCAATCAAGCTGAAAACATATGCAAGTGAAGTTTATAAATCTTACATCTCAATCTCCGGAATGTTCAAATAATCCGATTCTGATGCCAGTTGCAACCGACGAATCCAAGAAACATTGAGGTCCCACCCTACAGATATCAACAATAAACACTAATAAGCAATAAACATATACTTATATATATAATTATATGTTTATCTTTCATTAATTATTTCCTTCGATCAACTTAAAAATTGAATAAACTGACTGGGAGAAGGAAAACAAAGCAGAAGATAGAAAAAGAAGACAAATGGAGTGCAAATTTAGAGGGAGAAAGAAGAAGATAGATTCATCAAACCAAACATAGGCGGTAGTGAAGCTTGATCCGAGGTATTCCCTTCATCATATGTGCTGACAACAACCAAAAACAAACAACAGAACAAAACACAATACATCAGACTACTATATAGTCAAACGTAAGCTACAGTACTAAGCATCCCCATTGTGGCAACAACTGTCCCAAACAATCCACCGGTTGGATTCCCGGTCTCATCAACCAACCTTGAAGTATTCCCTAACCAAAAATCAGAAACAACAGCCACACTAATCACAAGAACAGGAAGAGCAGTGGATTCCAAACCCAACTAATCCCAACAAAACGTTTATCCAGTGACATAAAAAGATTATATGCATGAGCTTTTCATTATGTTATTAGCCATTTTGTAAGAGAAAAAGAAAACAGTTACTACTTCCTTTGAAACACAACAATAGGTAATTGCAAACCTGTTTCGTTGTATTACCTTGCAGCCCACCCTACCAGATCCACCTATTAGCCTCTTTTAAAAATGGCTTGTAATCAGTTGGCGAGTTACATGTCATAGTGAAATTAAGGATTTCACCTGCAATCATGAAAGCATCCAAATTTGAACCTGGGAAATAAAAAAAAAATCGTAAAATCATTGAACAATTACAGACCTTATATACCAAATGTTTTTGTGATAAAGATTCCCAATACTCACCAATATATGTTGTATATAACTCTATGGGGTCTCACTGTAGTATGAATCGTTATGCCCATATTGTACAAATTTCATTATGTATCAACTGGGTAAAGAATTCCGGTGACAGAAATTGGGTAATGGGTATGATGAGGGATTTTGAAGCAGCGATAGCATTGTGACTCAACTTTGAGACTTTTCTGTAATCATCACCTAGAAAACAAATTTAAAATAAGTTAAAGTTCCATCAAATTTGAGAATATTAACAAAGGGTATTTAAAAATGCACATAACAGATTGAAAAAATAAAGGAAATTAGAAATCAGTGAATAAATGACGAACGATTTCTATCGTCATCAAACAACCCACCCGATACAATTTCCTTTTCCATCAAAGATCCTATTTTTCGTCTTCATTTTTATTGCCAAATTAGGTTCATCTTATTCCTAATTTTTAATCAATTGCCATACGTTATTGATTTTTAGGTTTTCCAGTTCTTCAAACGGGTCAAAGAATCCTCAACAAATCTGTGTTTCAGAAAAAATTGGTGATGGATTAGTTAATGATCAGGGGAAGAATGAGAACAAATTAACAGTTTGAAGTTGAAGAATAAAAGAAAAATGAAAACCTTTCACAATGGTGCAACTGGTACGAGTGCTTTCTGAGTTAATACCATATGATTTGAAATACACCCACACTCCACCACGAACAGGGGACCAAAAACCTAAAGTAAGGATGTCATGACGTAAAGCACCACTTTTCAATGCAATCTTCAGCAATTGTCTCAAAATCGTACAAAAATCGCAAAAAGAAATCAAGAATATGTTCATAAATGTTGAACTTACAAAAAAAAAAAAAAACAAAGACAGCGTCACAATTCTTTTTACAAAAACACACCTGTCGTCAATATGCATTGAGTGGCTTGATCAATCCATAATCTAAAGATGTTACCTGTAAGATCAATATTAATTCTTCAATCGATAAATGATAGAGTTGCAAGGGGCCAAAAACTTCAATTTCTTATTTTCTTTTGTGGATTGAGTAATCAGTTATCTATCTTTGTAATCGTCTTCAAACACCTACATATAACAAATGTTTATTAAGTTCTAGTGTTTGAGAGAGAAGACGATTAGAATCATCCGATAGCTCTGTTGGTTAAGATTAATCAGAATGAAAAGATGAATAACAATATAGAACCCTAATCTAGAGACGATGTAATCGCGTAATAGCTGAGCTTGAGGAAGCGATTCAGAAAGGATTTCAATCAAATATGTTGCAATCATCTTCATTGACTTATCAAAAATTGCTAATTAGGTGGCTGGTTTATCGAATTCAACATGGAAAGTGTTTATTACAGACGGACGTTTTGTAATCAAGAGAATTTGGAATGCGTTCAATTGATTTGTTTTTCTTTAAGATGACATCATCAGAATAATGCAAAAGGATCTATTGGTTGAAATTAATCAAGAAAATACAATGAATGGTCCTGATTGTTAAAAGTGATGTCATCAAGTTTCTCTTTTAATAATATTTAGAGATTTGACGTCATATAAACTAATCTAAATATTTTATTTTCTTAAACTTTGTTTTGTTACCATATAAACTAATAAATATTTTTATAAAAAAAATTTATTTGTTTATCTTATTATTATTATTATTATTATTTTCTAAAATACATGTAGTTATTACAAAAAAAGATGCATTATGTGGACTGTGTTGTAATTTTCGTGTAAATAGCATAAACCATCATGTAAATGGGCCAACGGGTATGATCCATTTCTTAAACAGTAATCTGCAATTCCTAATTTCTACACAGCACAGAATCGCTCATCGCTTCCAGTATCCGAGCACCAAACAGGGTGGGAGAGAGATCCATAGAGAGTGAGAGAGAAAGATGTTTCTGCGGAGGTTTGCTTGGCCATCGTCATTGATGATGATGGCCAGGGTGAAGGAAACAACGGGGATCGTCGGTCTCGAGGTGGTTCCTAATGCAAGGGACGTGCTAATTGGTCTTTACAACAAAACCCTAAACGAGATCCAGCGTGTACCTGAGGACGAAGGCTATCGGAAGGCCGTTGAGAGCTTCACGCGCCACCGATTGAAGGTATGCCAAGAGGAAGAAGATTGGGAAGCCATTGAGAAGCGACTTGGTTGTGGTCAAGTTGAGGAACTCATTGAAGAAGCTCAGGATGAGCTCAAACTCATTGACAAAATGATCGGTACCAATTCCCTCTCTCTCTTAAACAAATCCTTCAATTCGATTAATGATAAATTGACGACGATGAATATTAGTCAAATCATAGAGATGAGTTAGGTATTTTGTTTGATCTACTGTTACTGATGGCTTTTGTGGGTACATACATTTCATTTCACAGGTTACACGAATTTAGTTAGTGTTTTGTAGTTGGAACTTGAATTGGTGCATAGTTAGTTCAAATCTTCAACTGATGTTTCTTCAATTCTGGCCCTTGGCCACAGCATCTATGTTAGCTTTCCTGATTGAACCATGTAAAATTCATGGTGTTCTTGGTTTGACTTGTAAAATTTATCTCTTTTTCTCTTCATAATTGTAATTCTAATTCTCATCACCTAAAGTTTATTTATTACTAATCTCTTCTCCACACTCCACTTACTAATTCAGTGCAGTGAATTTCTGAATATATTCCTACAAGTTCTATAATGACATTTAGAACACAACACATGAAAACAATAGCAACAATTCTCCTGTTGTGAAATCAATGCACATGATTATGCAATTGTACACTGTTGACTGTTTCTATCAAACTTTTTTTGGCAACAATAACAACAAAACTTCATTACAAATCATAGGCATCTTGGTTTTTAGCTCGAGTAATCTTATATCTTCATTTCCTTGATTACAATTTTGTAATAAAGAACCAAAATGCATTGACATCTTTTGGTACCAAATTGCAGAGTGGGACCCATGGGGTGTACCCGATGACTACGAATGTGAAGTAGTTGAAAATGACGCTCCTGTCCCTAAGCATGTCCCACTACACCGACCTGGTCCTCTTCCTGAGGAGTTTTACAAGACTCTGGATGCTATCATGACTGGAAAATTGGAGCCTCCTGCTAAAAAAGACGAGTCAGCAATCCCTGCAAGTTCCCAATGAGCAACAAATCATGCTTCTTTCTTTCCGGGTTTGTTTCTATTTATAGAAAGCTGAAATCTTTGCTATTTTCAGAATTATTGTTCATGTTTTGTCTGAATAACTATGTGTTTGGAGGCTAATAAACACAGATTCGGCTAGTGGTGTCCACTATGTTTTCTGTAGGGGCTGTTTCTATTTGATTTAATGGCTTAATACTTAATTTGGATAGAATGACTTAATGGGTTAAGCCAAAAAGCCTGGCTTTATGCATTAAGACACTAAATCTTTACGTATTTGCCCTTACTTTTTCCCTCCTTAGTCCTCTCATATTACAATTGATGAATATTGTGAAATTTGTTTTTTGGAATGTAAGGGTAAAATGGTCATTTCGTGTGAGAAAATAAAGGAAATATCTACAAGGAAATACTTGAAACAAAATTGATCGAATTTTCTAATATTGCTTTGTGAGATTCTTCCTAAACACCATGAAAGATAAGCATCATTCCATCATCCTTAACATATTCTATCGTGTATAAATAAATAAATGTTTTCATAAAATATGGATTTGTATTATTTACAGTTCATTCTTGATTAAAATGTAATGTCTATAAGTTGTAAACCATTATTTCTCATCTAATTAAAGTTTTATATTAGGGGAACAGAAAAGTAAGCATTAATATTGGATAAAAGTAGGGAAAAGAAAACTAACCTTATATGTTGATAAATTGGATGATTATGAACAAACTAGTAGTAAAAATTGTTGGAATATATGATATAGAAATAAGAGATGTGAAGATTATTAAGTAGTTACCTATGTTTGTATTTATATTAAAATTTCGTTATGGATTATGGATTATGAAGTTGCGTTAAAAAAAATAGTATCTTTGATTCATTAATAAGGTGACACTAAAACATTATGTAAGAATCCTATATATTGGAAAGTAGGTTGTTATAACTGAAAGTAGGATACGTAAATGGCATGATGTATCAAGTGAACGTAATGGGTAATATTTAAATGAAAACATAGTGATTGAAATTCAAAGCATACAATAAAATAAAGTTTCAAAACTCCGAATAAATTCAACGAAACAAAATTGATCGAATGTTTTTCTTGTAGTTACAAAACCTCACCCTCCTTATTCTATTTGTATGATGTATTTATTTATTAGCATCTTTTTAGTTTTATAAAATTTATCTTAAAAAAAAAAAACGACAGATGATATTTATGAATCTTTATGTAAAGATGTTATTATAGCCTCCTATAAAACGGAAAAAAAAAAAAATTATGAACAGAGATTCATGGCGTGAAGAAAGATTTTTTCACACACTCTATCTACATCATGATGACGAAGACAACCAATACCAAATGGACCATAGGATTATAAATTATGAGTTCAAACGTATACGTGTAAAAACCGTATCTATCTTTTATACAAATTAATCAGTACCAAATGGACCATAGGATCATCAATTATGAGTTCAAACGTATACGTGTAAAATCGTATCTATTTTTTTTATACAAACTAATTCATGTTAAGATGATTATTGTACCTAATTTTTGCAATAATTATTGATCATTCAAATGTGAATTTTAATAAATTTATTTGTGAATCACTGTGAATTCATTTGTGTATGAAATAATAAAACAAATTCAAGTGAATTACTTAGATTTACATGTGAATGTGAATTTAATTAGATTTTTGAATATGAATATTTATTTGAATTACAAGTAAATTCGATATGTTTAGATAAACGATTCATATATAATTAGTGCCATGTCATATGAGTTACCAATTACCCACTCATATTTATATTTATGAAAGTGACATTTTAAACCCGATAAAATACACTTTGTGCCCCTGGAACGCAAGAAGAAAAAAACTAAAAGATCATTTAAACCAATTCATAAAAGTTCGTTACCAAACAGTGACATTAACCATTTTTTATATATACTGTTTTTTTCCGATAAAAGATGAGCTCTAAGAAAAGGAGTTTTTTTATAATCCTATACGTTGATGTCCACCAATATTTCTTTTGATTAAAAACGATAGTTCAACTCTCAACTTATATATAGTTGTGAGCACCTTTCTACCAATATTTGATATCGCTGTCGTTTATTATTTTTTTCTAAATCGTCAAAGTCTCAAAGATGAAAAGTAATCCTAAAAAAATTATATCAAGAATTCAAGCGCTCTACGTCATTCCCATTTATTGTCGTATACTATAAGTTTCACAAGTTTCTCTAACAAACGCATTTCACTGAAATGGGGACAATTATTCTGTATCCATCTCCAGGCATGGGACATCTCATATCAATGGTGGAGCTTGGAAAACTTATCCTCAAACACTATCCTTCCTACTCCATCGTCGTCCTCACACTCATCCCCTCCTTCAACACCGGTACCACCGCCACCTATGTCCGCCACATCTCCGCCACCTACCCCGCCATCACTTTTCACCACCTCCCTGATATCCCTCTTGACCCCTTACTTTACCCCTCCATGGAAGCCATCATCTTTGACCTTATTCGACTTAGCAACCCCAACGTCAACAACGCCCTACAATCCATTTCTCTCTCTTCTAAAGTCATCGTCTTCATCATCGACCTTTTTTGCACGCCGGCGATGTCTTTGGCTGATAAACTCAACATCCCTGTTTACTACTTCTTCACGTCCGGTGCATCTTGCTTGGCGCAATTCCTTTACTTTCCAACGATTCACAGAACCACCAATGAAAGCTTTAAAGATATGAACAGACCCATCCACTCGCCGGGATTGCCACCGATACCCTCGTCGGAGATGATAAGCCCACTTCTCGATAGAACAACTACTGATTATTCCGACTTTCTTGTATTCTGTGAGCACTTCCCTAAGTCAGCTGGGATCATCGGCAACACATTTGACTCGTTGGAACCAAAAGCCATTAAAGCAATTACCGACGGATTGTGTGTCCCCGATCTACCTACTCCGCCGCTGTACTGCGTCGGACCGCTGGTGGCTCCCGGTGAGGATAGTCAACACGAGTGTTTGAATTGGCTCGATTTGCAACCGAGTCGAAGTGTTGTTTATTTGTGTTTTGGGAGTTTGGGTTTGTTTTCTGCTGATCAGTTGAAGGAGATCGCTACGGGGTTGGAGATGAGTGGGCAGCGGTTTTTATGGGTTGTGCGAAGCCCACCGTCACATAATCAAGCCGACCGGTTTCTGCCACCGCCGGAGCCGGACTTGGATTTGCTACTGCCGGAGGGTTTCTTGGCTCGTACAAAAAATCGGGGACTTGTAGTGAAGAATTGGGCGCCGCAAGTGGCGGTTCTAAGCCACGAGTCCGTCGGTGGATTTGTGACTCACTGTGGGTGGAACTCGGTGTTGGAAGCAGTACGTGCAGGTGTTCCGATGGTTGCATGGCCGCTTTATGCTGAGCAGAGATTTAATAAGGTAGTGTTGGTTGAGGAAATGGGGTTGGCTCTTCCGATGGATGAGTCAGAGGGAGGGAGGGTGGCGGCGACGGAGGTGGAGAAGCGGGTTAGACAGTTGATGGAGGCGGAGGAAGGGAAAGCTGTTAGGGAGGTGGCGATGGCGAGAAAACTGGATGCTGCTAGGGCAATGGAGGACGATGGGTCTTCTCGTGTGGCACTTTCGAAGTTGGTTGAATCATGGTAGCTATATGTGAATCATTATAGTTCATTACACGACAAATTAATGTTGTCAAAAGTATCAAAATAATGTCTTTATTTGTGTATTTTATGTTCACTTGACCTTTGAGACTATTGTGTTGAGTTTGTATTGTTGTCCTCTTTGTTAACTCCGCTCAACTCAGAATCAAACGGCAATATTGTAGATCTCATGTTTTTTTGCAACTAAAGTAATAATTTACATTTTAAGTAATGATATACACAGAACAACCAATATGTATTGATCTATAAATGTTGCCCGTTTGCCTTCAATGGATATGTATTGATCTATATTTTTTTAATTAATTTAAAGATTTCCAAGTGAACTGAGTCTAAAAAAAAAGAACAACCGAATCAAATAGTATATTAAACCATAGTCATTAAGATCCCCGTCTTCATTTTAAAATTTTACAATTTTAAAATCATAAAAGTACACACTAAAATTTATCTGAAACAAGATATATTAGATATATGTTGGGGTCTTATTATCTCAACCAGGACCTAAAATCTCCTGATATGATCTAAACTCTTTAGAGTCTACGAATATAGTCGATCCTTAAACATTTGCAAACTTGAAATCAAACATCACATGTCGTAAGAACTATCATAGAGCATCACCATTTCATCCGCTCATCTTGAATTAGACAGCAGAGCTGGTCCTGAGGATGTAAATATCCTTAAATACCCAGGACGAGTTAGAAAAAAGGGTCCCTATCGATATTATAAGTTTTTATTTTTAAATATCCTTAAATACCCAGGACGAGTTAGAAAAAAAGGTCCCTATCGATATTATAAGTTTTTAGTTTTTAAACATTTGCCCCCCTGTTAGAGATATATCGTGACACTCATGTGATTCTATTTGTGATCTTAAACCATTATTTGTACATGATCATGATGGTCTTTTGTTTCCTTTTCTGCTTAATATTTTTCTTTTGAATTTTATTGTTTGTAGTAACAATAATTATGGTTTATGTTTAAGAAGTTGAAATTAATTTCATCAACAATATATTAAATAACATCAAGTTATAATGAACATTGCACAAACAAGACATCGTAAACAAGTTTAACGATTATTTCATTTTGGTAGGATTTTTTGATCTTGATCTTATCTTACGATCACGATCTTATAAATCCTAAAACGATTCTAGCCAAGATCCCAATATTGACAATATTCATATAAACTATTGTGCTTCCTTGACTTCTAATCGATCATCATTTATGCTTTTATTTTTCTTTTACGACAATTTTGTTTTTCATTACAATAAGATTGAATTGCGAAAATGATCCACGTGGTTTGCTAATATTTTTGGGGTACCATCCAATGAGTTTTAAAGTTGTTGGTTCGGTACTTTTGATATTGTTTGGTTGTGGATTTGGTCACCTTCAAATATGAAAACACTATATTAACCCATTGGTTTTATTTTTACATTTTATACATGTTTTTAATATTTTTAAAATAGAAAAGGCTCACCACACCTCCAACGACCCACCACACCCACTCCACCCTAATCCACCCTACACTTCCATTTATCCCAATACTTTTATCTTCCCTTCTAATATCTAACTCGTCGACAACCTTTCCCTCATCATCGACCGCCGCTAACACAACATACTAAATTGTCAGCAACATCTCATTTGCTAGCTTCAGAAACTCAATCTTTCTCGAATGAGTTTAACATGCCTATTATATATATATATATATATATATATATATATATATATATATATATATATATATATGCATTTGCTTCCTTCTCTTTTGGGAGAAAACAACAAAATGTGGACAAGAGAACAAACTAAGTGAGAGTGTTTTCTATGGATGAAATTGTCTATCAAACGTCGATAAGAAACAAAAATACAATGTTTTGTTTTGTTACAATGGATATTTAGTTGTTATGATTAAATCTGATGTAAATACTAATGACACTTTCAACTTTCAAGCTTTTAAATTCTAGAGGAGTTGCTTTAAGTGTTAATGACATGGGTGTTGGAGTTGTAGCATGGAGGGTTTGAAGTGTTTTTAGTTTTTATTAGAAATGAGTTTTTCGGTGGTGTATGTGTAGTAACACCTAAAATAAGGGTTTAATCGAGAAGCTTTCCGACATTGTATATTTTACTGTCCTCAGGATTCTCTTCATAATCATATATTATTAGTATATCCGTGGGTAATTGCCATAAAGCCCCAAATTTACATAAAATTTTCGGTTATGCCCAATGCTATTTTTTTGTGCGTTAATGCCTAATATTCAGGAAGATTTGTTGATTTTTGCCCTTCAACTTATTTTTACCTTCAACACTAGGTCAACCACATATATGTCGCTGAATGGATGTAAAGCTGACGTGGCTGCCACACCAACGTCTTATATTGATGAGAAAAGTAAAAGTGCCAAGGAAGAAAATGGGCCCAACGAGAATCAAACTTTTGACCTCCCACACAAGAAGACTGCGCCTTTACGACCAAGTTAGAGACATTTGTAAGGTCGAACCTTATAATCTGATGAGTGAAATACACGCTGACTATTAGCTCTAGCGCTAACATCAGCTTATGAACCTCTCCAGCGTCAGCGTGTAATCAATAGTAATAGTGTATTTACTTTGTATTCTGTAATTATATTAATAGTAGTTTTCGGTTAACTATTCCTTAATCTCAGTGATTAGGATCAGTCTCTTTACTTAGATTAGAATCAATCCCATAAATGTCGGGATTGATTGTTACTAGTGTTACTATATATATATATATATATATATATATATATATATATATATATATATGTGTGTGTGTGTGTGTGTGTGTGTGTGTGTAATCGGGTTGTGCTAATTGCAACCCTAATCGCTGCTTTGTGCCGATTCTCTTAATGACGATCACTTCTTAGTAAAAAAATCTTTGTGATAGCCTTGTTCTTATTTTTTTCTTGTTTGTATCCGATCAAGCGAACATTCAAGTGGTATCATAGCAGGTTTTCTAATACATTCAAGATATCATGCCTTCCTCATCTTAATACTATCCCAAATCCTTAGTAGCAAATAAAATTCCGTTGTTCGATGAAAATAACTTTGCTATGTGGAAGACAAAAGTCATGGTTGTTCTTGAAACTATGGACTATGACATGCTCAACATCGTCAATAATGGTCCACACATTCCCATGTATCAACCTATGGTCGATAATGCACCCGCTGGTGCATTAAATCTGAAACCAAAGACAAGATATGATGAAGAAGACAAAAGACTCATGAGTCTAGATGTAAAAAGAAAGGGCTGCGATTGGAAATTCTCTTCCTTATCAAATTTATCACCTGGTTCAGAACTGTGAATTTGCACAGGAAATGATGGAGACCCTGATAGTTGCCTAAGAATGCATTGTAGAAGTTTAAGCAACTCAAATTAATAACCTGAACCGGGGATATGAGCACTTCTTTGCTCAACAAGGTGAGACTCTGACTCAAACCTTAACAGGTTTAACTGTTTGGTTAATGATATGTGCATATTGGGCACTACTAAACACTCATCTTAGCTTGTGTTAAAATTATTGGATTCCTTGGGGAAAAGTTGGGAACATCACGTTGATGTTCTCAAGAACAAAGAGAAGATCAAGACTATGGATCTAAACTCTCTCTTTGGAAATATGTGTAACTATGAAGAAACCAAAGATCTTCGAAAAGACATCATGAAGGACTCCAACAAGGAAAACTCTGTCGTCTTTTTCTCTAGAAAGGAGAAATCTATCAGTGACTCGGAAACATCATATCATGATGAAAATCCTTATAATGTTTGCTCGGATGAGTTAATTGTTAGCACTGCACTAATTATCAAATGATATGAAGAAAGTAGGTTGAGTAGGCGTAAAAGGTTTCAGTCTTGAGGAAGCAGTTTATTAGCGAGAGAGAATGTCGCTGACAAAAAGGATGATGGAAAGTGCTTCAACTGTGGAATCATTAAGCACCTTGCTAGGGAGTGTAAAGCAAAGAAAGCATCAGAAGACTTAGAAAGTTATGAGGTGATGTACAAGAAGCTGCTGGCTCATATGAAGAAAGAAAATATTTCTCTTCCAAAAGCACTTGTTGCTAAACAAGAGAAAACTGAGGAATGGGTTGATGAAGAAGAGTCTTCGAAAGATGAGGATCCAAAAGGGAAGTGTCTAATGGCTCGCATCGATGACTCTCATATTGAGGAGTCAAATGGAAGTTCTAGTACTTTTAACGCTGATCTTTCTCATGCCGCCAGGGACTCAAAGATGAAAGACTGGGACTCATATTCCATGTATCAGGTTAAGAAATTTGTTAATTACTCTTCTAATGAAAAAGTCGATATGTTTGATTATTTGCGTCTTGATCTTGCAAATTCTAACTCTGAAATGCTCACACTTAAATAAGAGATTAAGGTTTCAAAGCAAACACAATTTTAGTGTATTCGTACACTGAAATCTGATGAACTTGCCAAAAAGCTACATCGTATAGTTCACAATTGGGCACATTCACATTTCAAGATAAACAAAATAATAAACGCTCAAATCCCTGATCAGTGTGAGAAAATTCTTGGTGGTAATATTGATGACGCTATGAAAATACTCGAACATATTGAATCTGAACAAAAGTTTGACATTGCCTGTGATCTTGAAAAGGACGTTAAAATTAGATCTGTCAGCACCTCTTTTATAAATCAAAGTTTAATTGACAAACATTTTTTCCTTGACTTAATGAACACACTAAATGTAAATCTCACTTGTCCAATCTTGATCCATCACAACAACCTCCAACTCATGAATATGTGTTGCCCTCTACCAAAGTCTTGCTAAAATATCCCATTTCGAATGGTGAATTTCACTCAGTGAATGAAATCCTTAGTGAATTTCCTCAATGTACTGTAAGTGACATTGACACTGACTGTCTTTCAGATACTTCAAACACTAATGAATCTTCCAACTCATCAGCGTGTAATGACAATGTTTCTTCATAATGTAGCGTATCCAGCTCTAGGACAAAAGAAAGGGTTTTTAAATTAAATGAGTAGGAGTCAACTCACTAGAAGCCTTTTTTTAAAAGATAAAAAAATACTAGAATCAGGTTATGTTATTGTTGTGGGGACCCTTCACCCAAGATAAGCGAGTGCACATTTTATGAAAATACAAAACGCGTTGACAACATTATAGTTCGAAATAACAAATTGATCAAAAAGGAAGTTTCTCTAAA